TAAAGGAACCCTGGAGGACCAGTCAATACTGAAGAATATCATCTGGTAAAAGACATTTCCTAACAAAAATTAAACAAATAAGATAAATCAGTCGTTTTTATTTTTTCTTTGGACTTGTGGTTCCTACATCAGCTCTACCAGATTTTTATCTTCACTTCTAACCTACAGGGTTTGAGAAATAGTCCGTTATGCCAGCTGCTGGAAGAACACTTAGTGCATTACGTCTAGGCTGTTCAAGCTCTCTCTCACAATCCTTTATCATGTAATTTCAAAAGGAACCTCTTACAACTTCTTGCATGCCAGCCCTTCATGAACAATCCCCGTCAAGAACCAAATACTCAAAGAGAAGACTGAAGCTCCCTTTATTTTCCTGTCTAAAAGAAAAACCCGCAGGGGGAGAAGTGAACAGCTCTAAAATTCAGATGGATGGTGACATAACAGAAGGCTGCTCCAGGCTGGTTGGTCACAAAGCACACGGTGACAACGGTGTTCATCATCCCAACACAATGACTTCTCTAGAGGGAGCCAGAAGAACCACAATTAGCATTTGTTTTCCAACCAATATTTTTCTGTGCTCTTGAATATGCAGCACAGAATGGGAAGCAGATTTGCCTTGCACTGCACGCATCTTTTTCCAAGCAGTCAGGTGTGCCTCATCAGCAAAAAGCACTTACATTATTTTCAGAAGTTATTAAGTGAAATGGGAAACCAGCATACTGTGATTCTATTACAAAAGAGTTACTGCACTCAAGCACTGCTGGTGTAAGAGGTATCAGTTGACTTCAGGCAATGTAGCTAAGCCAAGCAGGGCTCTGTCTAAGTTCAGTCTCCCATTTCTCCAGTATTTGCAGGACTGCCACATAACCTAGATGTAAACCCACAAAACGAAGAAGTGCTGACCTTCCAATTCAGAAAGCTGTGTAAAACAAACATAATGAAATATCAATTCAACTAATAAGAATATGAAACAATATGGAGAGGTACCTTGGCATTAAAGATGCTCAGCATCCTTCAGGATCTAGTTGCTAAGGCATCAAGTTGATCCAGAGCTCTTGTCTGAGAGGCTTCTCCTTCATCCAAGTTCTGCACTGAAGTATCTAAGGAGGCGGTCATCACCTTCAAGCCACTGAAGATCTATGCTAAGCTGGTAAACAAACTCCTTGGACATTCAGGAAGATTCTCCTGTTAACCCTGTCAAATATTCCATCTCATAATTTTCTTGTAACGTGATTATGGACAGGCTTTGCTTTACAAATCTAAGTATTAATCTTTAAATACAAGACTACATTTTTACGAGGTTCAATAAAGAATGCTGGCACTCATGATGTGTTCTTAAAACAAACCAAGAAACGTTTCAAATACAGCAAGTATCAGGAGCCTCTCAAAGTTCCAACCCCACTGTCATCTCCAAACACACACATACGCTGCCTTTCATCTTTCCAACACTTTCAAACAAGGAAAAGTCATAATTTATCTCTCACATTTTACTTTGGGAGCCAAACAAAAGCAAGAAAGCAGTAGCAGCAAGGTTGGTTAAAAACACAAAACTATGAAAATATCGCTTAGATCACTCTTTCTATGGGCATTTTTCAATGGCATTGGGCAGCAAGTATGAAACAGGCTCTCCAGCTCACAAGAAGACACAATAGAACTACAAGATACTACGTCAGAAGTCTAATCAGCAGGATAAATGGGACTTGCCTGAAGAATCCTCAAATATCCAAACAGAAAAGGAAGATTCAATTGTATCTGAGAAATAATGGCTAAAATACATTCATCCTTGAAAGGTTCCAGGAATAGTATGATTCACCTAATCGTAAACAGGGAATGCTAGAAAACCAACCTAATTGAATGAAGCACCTTGTAGCGATGTGCAAAAACCCAAAATAGGACTAACTGCCTCATCCAGCCATTAGTGACAAATACTATTTTTACCTCAATTTCAAAAGAGAAAGCACTAGAAAAACACATCTGTAGGAAGAAAAACAGCTTTCTGGTAAAGAGCTCTGCTGAGAAAAATACTTCTCACAAAAATCAGCCTGCATTGGATGGCTGTTGCTAAACTAGCAAGGAAATAATGGGGCTTTATCTGCTGTTTTGTGTATTCTTGTATTTGGTTAGTTGAACAAAGTTGCAGGAAAACACACTGTTGCTCTTGGCTTTGGGAGATCTCACTGGGGTTCCACCATCTGGTCTCCAAGATTCAGGATCTTCTCTCTGGGCAAAGAGATGTGTGCAGATAACACGCAGGGAAGGAGGGTGATGCAGGTGTTGTGCACATAACACATTCCTCAGTGAGGTTCTGACAGATATTCTTGAGGCCAGAAGAAATTCAATAGCTCAAATTCTGTTTCCTGAAATGGAAAGAAATCCTATTATAGACATTTTTATACAACCAGTGTTCTTTCCAACATGAAAGAGGACCTAAGCCTTCTAGCACAGATAAGGTCTTCAACACACAAATCTAAAAGCTGCTAAAAAAACACAGTTGCAAACACTGAAACACAGGCAGTTCTGTAGTTCACTGAAGTATGAGGGAGTGCATTAGGAAAAAAGTACAGATACACAGTACTTCTACCACGTATAGCACACACATCCTGGTGACTTACTAGTGGAACAAATGTATGGCACAGTCACTAAAACCAAAGGAAACATAATTGCACAAGAACATGCAGAAATTCAGTACTTCATTTTGTTTAATCTGTATGGAAAAAGAAAACTTTTAATGTAAGCTCTCCTGTGTCAAACAGTGTTAGCTTCCCTCAGCCCACACCAGCCAGGCAATTCATGCAGAGAAGCTTTTGTCTGTAATCCAGGTATGCTGCTCTCCTTTAGAGTGTCTGATGAACTTGTGGCAGTCAGACTGAAGGTTTCTCTCCCCATTCTAAGAGGTACAAGTGTCAATCCCTCTGCCCCCCCATGAGGCTACTGATGGAACTTGTGCTTTTCACGCACTTCTCAAAAAGGAAAGATAAGTTCCACACTCCACACTTCTGAAACAGCCTCAGTTGAAAGCAACAGCCTCATGCGGGGTCTCAGGAATTCAGCTGCACGACCTCTCTCCTGCTGAGCTCCCTTCAGAACTTACTCCCATGAAATTGCTCTGTGACTTCCCTCCAGGACAGCCCAGAACAAATCAGAAGCCAAACAGCTCCATTTGCAAGCCCTGCTGCTCAGAGCTTCATCCAGCTTGCTGGAATCATAGAATTGTTTGTGTTGGAAGAGACCTTTATAGATCATGTGGTGCAACTCCCTGCACTGAACAGGGACACCCACAGCCATCAGGTGCTCAGAGCCTGGTCCAGCCTGACTTGGGTCTCTCCAGGGATGAAGTACCACCACCTCACCAGGCAATCTGTGCCAGAGCCTCATCACCCTTAACATAAAAGAGTTTTTCCTTGTATCCAATCCAAATCTCCCTTCTTTTAGTCTGAAATCGCCTACCCTTGTCCTGTCACAGCAGACCCTGCTCAATAATCTGTTCCCTTCCATCTCACAGCCCCCCTAGATACCGGCAGGCCGTTCTCAGCACTCCCCACAGCCTTCCCTTCTCCATGCTGCACAGCCCAGCTCTCAGCCTGTCCTCGCAGGGAGATGTTCCATCCCTCACATCGTTTTTGTGCCCTCCTCTGGATGCTCCAACAGCTCCGTGTCTCTCCTGTGCTGAGCACTCCCCATCTGGACGCAGCGCTCCAGGTGAGGTCTCACAGCACGGAGCAGAAGGGCAGATCCCCTCCTCACCCTGCTGGCTGTGCTGCTTTGGATGCTCCCAGGATCCGGTTGGCTTCCTGGGCTGTGAGGGCACAGTGCTGCTCATTCCAGCTGCCATCCACCAGCACCCCCAAGCTCTTTTCCAATGTGACACTGCAGACACAAGTTCTGGAAATTGCTACAGCTTTAATCAAGTGGTAGCCATCTTTCAGAAAAGCATGTTTCCAAGAGTAGGCATCACTAAGTGCTGTAAGAGCTTTCCCACAGCTTCTCATGAGGGCGCTGCAAGAACAGGCTCACTGCTTCAGGCCAGACACAATTTTTGCAGCAAAAAAATGAAGCTGAGAGCTGCCCCAATGAAGAACTCAGCGGCAGAGTAGAGCAGTAGAGCACTGTGACAGCAAGGTGCTCTGTCAGACAGCAGAGCTAAAGCACGCACACAGCCCCAGAGAGGTGAGAGAACAGAGGGGCAACAGAGCAAGGTGTGTGTTTGTGGGCTATGAACCCAGGCGGAACCAAGAGCTGACTCAGTCACTCGTGTGGGTCACAAACTCGGGAAGCATCTCCCCATCGACAGCTTTCCAGAGACTGGGAACCTAGAACCCGCCAGCAATGACACCCAAGGGTTGGTTTAACATCTATGCTTCGTTTCTAACAAGTCTGTGCGGCTTCAACTTTCAGCCACTGATTTTTAGATTCGATTTTTTTCAATCCCTGTTTTGCTACATTCCCTTAAGTCCCTAGGGACTGCGCTTTATTCTCATCCTCCAAAACCTCGACCTCGGGAGCGTGTCACCAATTTATGTCGCTGTCCAGCTGCGCACCGCAGCAAGAGCACAGAGCCTCTGCGGAAACAGCGTCCTCCTTTCGGAGGCCCTACGCGCTCACAACTGACTTGAAACACAAGATCCCTCGCATGCTTTTGCGCACTCTCCCAGCACCTGGCGGCACGCTGAAATTCAGCGCGCTGAAGTTCAGCAGAAACAACGGAGCCAAACTCCGACATCCGCCCTCCCTTTGCGGAGCGGAGCCGCCTCCCCTCGCCCCCTCCAGCCCGCACGGCCGCCGTCCCGCCGTTCCGCAGTCCGGGGGCACTGGCACGGCGCCGCGCACCCCGCGGGGACCCGAAAAAGGGCCGTGCGGCTCTCCGCCCGCCCGGTGCCCGGCGCGTCCCACCCCCGGCCTTGACGACAGCGCGCTAATGAAATGCTAATGCCGGGGCGCGGAGCCGGGCGCTGCCCGCGCCGATAAAACCCAGCGCGGGGCCGCCCCGCCGCCCGCCCGCCGCCATGCAGAGCGCGGCCCCCGCCGCCCCGCCGGCGCTGCACCTCCTCACCTCCTACTTCATCGACGGCATCCTGGGCCGCGGCCCCGCGGCGGGACGGCACGGTGAGGGACGGCGGGGCGACGGAGCGGTCCCGACGAAGCCGTCCCGCCGCGCTCACCGCGCGCTTCTCTCCCCGCAGGCGAGGAGCGCCCGGCGCGGCCCGACCCCGCGGAGGAACCGGCGGCGTCCGAGCGAAGCGGGCGGCCGCGCGGCGAGGCGGCGGGGAGCGGCGAGGCGCCGGCGGCGCTGAAGAGGAAGCAGCGGCGGTACCGAACCACCTTCAGCACCTTCCAGCTGGAGGAGCTGGAGCGCGCCTTCCGCAAGTCGCACTACCCCGACGTGTTCACCAGGTAGCGGCGCGGGCGGGCCGGGCGGAGGGCCGCGGGTCTCCGGGGCGGTGCGGCGGCTAACGGTGCGCTGCCCCGCAGGGAGGAGCTGGCTCTGCGCCTGGAGCTGACGGAGGCCCGCGTGCAGGTGGGTGGCTGCCACGGGGACGCGGGGCGCGGGGTTGGGGGCAGCCGCGCCGTCCTCCCGGCTCCCGGAGGATGGAGACGCGGGCGCGATCCCGCAGCGGGGACACGGACGGCGTCCTGGCAGCGTCCCACACCGCGCTCCGCCTCGCGTTCACGGCCGGGGCTCCAAAGCAGGTACTGTCTTCCCGAGCTTTAAGGTTACGAGAGCGCTGTAAAGCGAGGGCGCCGTCGGGCGAGGTGTTGAGAGTAACTCGCACCGTTCTCGCGTTCCAGCTTAGCTCAAAAAAAAAACGCATCACGCTGCTGAATTATCCTTCACAACAAGTACGGGGTTACTGTAGCATTCAGGTAGCAAAGCCGGGCGGGGGGGGGGGGTTACAGCCGAGCTGAGCCGTGCAGAAGTACACCCGTAGAAAATAAGACATACAGAGGCCAGCCGTGGCAGCCCACAAACACCCCAGCACATTTCCCCGACCAAAGCACTCACATCTAGAACGTTTTTGAGAAGTAGCTCATTCAGGTTAATGACTAGCATAAGGTAGAAGACCCTTTTTACGCAAAAGCGAGGTGCTTTGGTTTGCTTTTTCTTCTTGAAACCGTTTCAAACACTGAAGAGTTGCAAAGTAGTTTCATGCTCAAAACTGAAACTGCACTGCACCTGACTTGGGGGGTATATCAGATAATGAGTGAGCTCCTCTTCCAGCACAGCCCTGGCTATGGCTTTATTCCTGAAGCATTGAGAACTGGGTGACAGCCCTGCTTACTGCCACTTAGCTTTGATACCACCAATGCTTATATATCTTGCCATTGCTTAAATCACTGCACCTGCAGTGCTTGCTGACATCTGTAGGGTTCCATTTCTCTCTCTCTCTCTTTTTTTTTTAGCTTTTTATTTTAACATGTACCTTAGAAGTATTAACAGCACTTCACAGATCACTCATCTGACAATACCTGGATATGCTATTAGTGTCTGTGATGTGGACTTGGAGGAAACAATGTGCTTTTCCCCGTCCTACCACTAATCACTAGAAGTTCCAGTCAGTGAAATACCCCAATATCTGGCACTGACATGCGGCATCCACAGACAGAAAGGACACGGGTGGGAAAGCTTTCCCTGTCACTGTCACAGCTGCTCCGTAAGGCGCTCACTCTGTAGTCCGTTTGACTGGTGAAGGAATGGCACAGTGGTAGATGGCAAAGAGGAACTCACCTCCTAATGACTCATCTAAAAGACATGGAAATGGTAGGTTTGATGGAGTCAGAATGGCACTGACAAGGAACATACCACAGTTGATGTTAGAAGGGATGTCAGAGAGCTGTTCCCTGTATCTACAAACTCCTTGTCTGATTCAGATCCTAACAAGTCTCCTGGGCACAAGCACCCAGTCAGCACAGAGTGAAGTTGCAGGGCACAGTGCTTCTGCTTTGTGCAGGTGTTCTTGTCCTGTAGTGGACAGAAGACAACTAAGCCTGGAGGTAAGAGGATGAATAGAGACAGTGATGTACCATTACTGTTAATTTATTCTAGTGTAACTTCAGGAAACTAATCTTATTAAATGCAATCAGACCAGTTCTTCACCTCAACATTTTCAAATTGGGGTCTGTTTCTTTGGGGATACTCCTCTGTTAGCTAGCTGAAATGGGCACAAGCCGCTGTGCTGTCCTTTACTCTTACATCTTTGAATCTTTTATGAAAATGAACAAGTAAGGAAGAAAAATACCTATTAATATATTCTCATTTCAGCATCACTTCAAAGAGATCAGCCCCCCAGCCCCCATTATTTGCTTCTACAGAGGAAGGGAAGAGATAGCAGCAAGCATCTTTGCATCCCTTCTTACCTTGGAAAAGGAGTGGTGTGAAAGTCTGCAAAACATTTCTGTAATCTCAACATCCTGTGTTGGGAAGCTCCTCAGTCCTACTCATATCTGTTCTTACCATTCAGCTCACAGTTCATATTGCTGCTAGGGGAAGAAAATAAGAAAAGGTGAAAGGAATGTTTTGTTTTCTTCACATGTAGACTGAAGCATTAATTGGGTGTTTTAGTTCTGTAAACTAGATCAGTGTCCAAACATGAGCTTACGTGTGTCACTGTTCAAAGTACCCTGGTTGTATTTTCTTGATTAGGATCCTGCATTCGGGTACTGCAGAAACACAGCACGTTCAGTCACCTCTGGAAGGCTTTTTAATCCCTGCAAGCTATTACATCAATTAAATATGATACATTTTTAAAGGAAATTACAACAAGAAAGCCACCACATTTTACATGCTTACCTTTCCTTTTGAAAGGAAATGTTCCTTTTGTCACATACGTGCAATTCTAGTAATTGCAAAATGATTTGGGTGGTTTTTTGTACAATTTGAAGATGTTCAAAACTCATCTTTCTTTGAGATTTGAGAATTAATCAAATACTTAAGTGATGCATTTTTTTTCCCCAAAGTATTTGTTCCGCTGCTATTGCACTCATACCATAAAGATCTCAAGACCAGCACAGCAGTTTCTCTTACATTTCGCTTGGCACTTCAGATATCTATGAAAATAAAGGCAAGTTAAGCCTTTTAAAAGAAGCAAAGGAGAACTGCTTCAAGATGACTGATGTGAATGATAACGGCCATGACATGCACACTGTGTACGAGGTGTGTCTGTGCCCCTTTTATCACTTGAGTTGATGAATACGTACCAGCAAGAAGCTGAAAGCCAGCTTTTTTCCTGAAGGTAATTACCAGATATCTGTACTATATTTCCTTACCCTTCAATGAATAAAAAGTCTGAGAGATGACTATGTAAGTTTAGTTGTAAACTCCAAACCGTCTGTAATCATAAGGTTGAGTCATCACATGGATTTGCTTTAGGACAGAAGCAGCAGAAAAGCCCACCTTTCATCTTCTTTACGACGAGACTGAAGAACAACGCTAAGATTTAGTAAGGAAAGGAAGGCCTTTGCAGCACGTTATTTCTTTTTTAGGAAAGGATTAATTTGCACGTGTGCAGCATTGCAGAGTGCACTGCCTTTATAATTAGATTGTTCTAACAGAAAATGCTTTGAATCTGTGATCCGTAAAACCTCAGCTAGGCTCCACTTAAAAAATTTTGGAAATGCAGTTACAAATATAAGATGACTTTACATTACTTTTAAGCAGTAATCTGTTGGCAGTGATTAAGCTCATTTCTGGCACCACCTGCTGCCAACTGCCTGTACATTTACACATCTAACCTGAGCAGTACAAATTGCTCCTCCAGGAGGACAGCAATTCCCCAGTGTGAAGGCAATAAAATACGTGCAATGAAAGGACCATAGCAGTAATTCTTCATCTGACTCTGGAGAGCCCCACAGCAAGTAAAGATATCATTGACGTGTGTAGGAACATCAGCGTCAGGACAGCAAAGCCACAGCATCCTGCAGCACCCTGCTTTGTGGGGGCTTCCCTTCCAAGCACCTGAAGGTCAATGAGTCACTGCAAATGGTTATTTGCCATTTCTGATTATTGAAGTACAGCTGGGAACCTCCAAAACCCAATTCTCAGATGCTACACCAATAAAAACCTAGATCTCTTAAAGTACTTTCTGACTGAAACATAATTGCAGATATGCAGTAATACAATAGTAATGTAATCCAACTACTAGAAAGCACAGTTCCACAAAAATTCAGAGATCTTCATAATAGATTGTCAATGTAGAATGACTGTGTCAGAAGCTAAAACCAAAGGAATAACTATTTTAGCCTCTGCTAACCTCTGCAATGTGCAATTTTTAGGGTTTTTAAAGTGGCACTGATAGATTCTTATTCTGAAGATAACTACCTCGCATGGTAAATGACCCTCATCTTTAAAGCCCACCTTTGTCTTACATCAGAAGTAAATTTCAGAGAGCCCTAATTGCATATAGGATATAAGACAGTCTTTCCAAGAACTCTCGTTCCTGCTATTACCATCCTCTCCTAAATACACTATCCTGATCAGAGCATTTAACTATTATTTACAGATCACTTCCACTGGATTTCAACAGTAATTATACGGAAGTGAGACGAATGAGTTTATGGGCTAATGACTTTCTTCCAAGTCCAGATCCAGTTCAGAATCCAGCTCGAGTGGCCCTCAAAGCAGAGGGGATGCAAAGACCCCAGCAGCTGAGTCCATCTGGATTTTGAGTGTGCAACCTCAGCAGCATATGCTTACAATTTTATTTTCTTTTATTTTTTTTAAAAACCCTCTCCCCACTGTTTTACAGCTGACGCTCCTCACTCTGCTCTTTCCTACCATCCTGGGTCAGCACAGTGAATGCTTAAGAATAACACTGAGAAAAATCAGTTTTCTGATCTATAGATTGGATTGACTGCATTCTTTAAAGATGTTCACCAGGCTAAAATAATGACTAATCAGGCTCAAAGAGGCTGCATGTTCAACAACTTACTGCACAAAACCACCACCAGTTCAAACTCCATTAGCAACAGCTTGATTCCCTGTTCTGATACAACTTGCTAGATTTTCTACTTCTGTATCGGCTTCTACTGCAATTCTGTTAATTGCTGCCATAATTAAATGCTGTTTACATTCACAGCAGATAACAGGAGCTTTACTTCTTAATCTCCTATATAAAAATGGAAGTCCTGGTCATCAAGATAAAGGCACACACCGCCTATTTGGCCTGCTTAGTCTTACAGTCACAATTAAGGTGCTTTCTGAGGTATCTCTGCAGAAATAGCCACCTTTTGAAAGGCTTTGTTGAAATTTAATTTTCAGTAACTACCTTAGGAATAATAATCATTTTAATAACTGATCCCAGGTTCACAGGTGATAGGTTTATATATTACCGTGACTTGAAACTGCATGGAACCACTCAGTCAGAGCTAGAGAAATCAAATCTGTAGTGTTTATAACCAATTTATTTATTAATTAACCCACTAAGGTATTTACAAATGGATCTTTAATGAGATGTGTTTTAGCTTAACAAATATTTTGCCATCTCTGTCGCTGCATGCAGTAGTAGCCGGAAGATAAACTCCAGAACAAGTTCAGCTAATGCCTTTATCATTTCTTATTCAAGGTCTGGTTCCAAAATAGAAGGGCAAAGTGGAGGAAACGTGAAAAAACTGAAGTTCTGGGGACTGTTCCAGGAATCTCCTTAACACACCCACTTGGACTGGTTTTGGACGTTCCGCTCAGCCATTCCCCCATCCTCGATCACACATGGAGGTCGATGCCTTTCTCAACACTGGCTGTGCCATCTGTGTCTCCGGCCTTTACTTCTTCAACCTTAGGGCCATTTGGCCTCAGTAGCCTTACCTGGACTTCTCTCTTCAGAAATCCCATTTTAAATCCGCACTTTGGAAGGTATCAAGCATTTTTTCCCACAAAATCTCTAAGTGTTTAAAAATATTGTGTGTTAGTTTGATACTCACACGTTCTCCAATGAATGTGCTCTCAGAGAAATAGGTTCACTAAAACAGGACTGGTGTTCCTGTGTGGGATCACATGATTTGAGAAAAAACAAGATTTAGTTTTAAGTCACGCTAGTAAAAACTTAACTCTCAACTGCAGTTTGAATAACAGCTGTGAGATGCTACCTTGCACACTGACCCAGATAACGCACCATAAAGATGTGACTGTAGACAGACATGGAGATGTGTCAGCAAGTCTTAGTCCTTTATTTGCAGGATGTCAGGAGGCAGTCCTTAGGATACGAAAAGGCGTGTTGTGTGTGTATGTGCATGTATTATACACACAAACGTGCTGTGCTCTCCTCCTGCTGAAGCTACAGCCTATGCCATAGTTCCACATCAGCAGGCAGAGCTTTCTGCCATGCACAAATGCTGCATTTCACATGAAACAACTTCTCTGAACAAACTGGCTGCATAAACAGCTACATACGTTGGTCTTCCTGTAGGATATTTTGTTGTTTTCACAGAGCAGGCTGATCTCCAGCATCCCAAGTTTGTTCAGAAAGGATTTAAGGTCAGGTCAGTATTCAAGGTACCTGCGTGCCGTATCCGATCAGCTGCCTTATTTCAATTAGAAGTGTTTGTTGGTTTAAAAGCAAGAGGCTTTGCTGCAAAATAAAGCTAAAATATATCCTGCAAAACAAAATGTACATTTGGAAGAAAGTGGAAATTATAGCAAATTATTTTCTAGTATTATTTTGTCTTTTTTTTTTTTTGCCTGCAATCCATTACAGATACTTGTTCTGCAAAACGCTTCTTAGTTTGGATAATATTGACTTCTTTCATATACAGGTTTCTCAGTGCTTTAAATCCTCTCATGACAACAGCTTCAGTGCTCATGAAAGCCCCCGGCCCCCCATCAGACCCCGCTCTCACTGTCTTCGCTGATCCAGCAGCAGTTGAAAGGAAAACATCAAGCATCGCAGCGCTGAGGCTCAAAGCGAAGGAACACTCAGCACAAATCCCTCAATTAAACCTCGTCTCAAATACCAACAAAGAACTCTGTTAGGAGCTCTCCCGCAGGCTACAGCCACAGAAGGAAATGCTTTCTCCAACAAGCAGCGCCTGTTAGAGACGTTTAAAAAAGAAGGCAAACACACGCACCCAGCTGCACTCCCTCCACCTGTAATGGACAAAATGGAATGGGCAACAAGGAAATAACCTTGCTAAAAGTTGTTTTTCTTCATCACAGTGTGAAATCATGCAGCAAGTTGACTTCTGTCATCATTTCTACCTACAATTTCGGACAGTAAAGGAAAAAAAAAAAATCACAGGAGCTGTCTCATCTTTGTAACTCAGGCTGACATGAAACTGAAGCTGTGAAATCCCCGAAGTGACTGGATGCTGGTTCAAGGATTCAGAATTCTTTGTAGGAATAACTTCAGTCGTAGAAGTGATTCTTAACTCGTTTCTCAGGAGGAACTCTTACATACAGTACATAAGAACTGGTACATAGTATGTTCTTGACTTTGAAACCATGCTTCACGTTGAAGTGCAGATGCCAGTGAAATCTCGCATGTTAGGCTTAGCAGGAAGGAGCTGTCGAGTATTTTCAACATAGGCTTTTGATTCAGAACCAGGTTTGTATAAAGCATATCTTGTTTTAAACTTTAAAAACGTTTATGTCCAGTGGCAGTGGTTAATAATTAAAAAAATCCTTTGTGTATGAAAACTGTCCTGTGAAAATAGGCTGTTAACGTGCAGTAAATGCTGTGTAGTTCTCTATGTGCATTTCTACATATCAGTAAATAGCTAATACTGTAAATATTAGTTTACTAAATACTCTAGCATGACTAGTGGCAGTTATTAACAGACCACTAAGTTAACAGGTTACTTGTGCATTCCCATGTCTCATGCCTTGAGTAGATTGAGAATTCAAGTGAAAACTAAACGTGAAATGTTAAATTCTTCCTCGAACTGATTCTAGCATAGGTATAAACAGAAGCCCTACTGACCAGACATCTGCAACTCAGCAAAATCCTGAACTCATTTTCTGGCCTCAGACAAGTCATTTCGGAGTTTTCTGCTGAACCTCCCCATCTGTGAAATGGGACTGAGAACAGCAATCCTATCTCTTGGTCTGGTTCGTGTAAAGCAAAGATAAGCATCCTCATTTTGTAGCTTACTTGCCTACCTCACAGGGCTGTTGTGAGGACTGATTAAACCATCATGACAGTGCAAATGGTAGTTATGTAAGTGCTAATTGTTGCTTAGCAGTCACATCAGAAAGGCCAACAGCTGAGGACACCTGCAGGTTACCTTGCCTGCATCTGCAGCAGCAGTCCTAGCAAGCTCCATTTCTGTGGGTTGATGGAACAACGTGGAACACTTCCATTGACACTGTCTGGTTCCTAAAAACCATTCACAAATGCTAAATTCAGAGGAAATATTTTGTACTCTTCAGAACTTCTTTCTCACAGCAACTCTGGGACTACTCTTGAAGCTATCAAAGATGCTTTCTAGGCTGCAGTTTGAGTGCAGAGCTCCAGATACCTAACTGCTGCTGCTTTATACTTCCCTGAGTTTGTCCTTCTCGCTCACAGACCTAAACACAGTTGGCTGCATCAGGCAGATCCATTTTTCATTTCCTCTGAACTACTAATTGCTTTGATTACCCTTGAGCTGTAAGCAACCACAAGTATTTCTGGATTCACAAATCTCATTGTGGTTCTCGCTGGGAGAAGGCACTGGTATTTTACTGTTAGGAAAAGCAAGCTTTCTATCCAGAGTACACTGCTGTTGCTGAGCCTGACGAGCAGGACTAAGCTTGGGCAGTGACATAACCACGACACTCACAAGTTTTGTTTTCTTTCACAACAGCCACTCGCTTCTGCCAAACCACTCCCTTCGCCCAGGCTGCCAACTGGCAGCACAACACAGGACCCACTGGAGCAATGGGTTTGCTCCACATTAACCTTTCAGATGGGTCAATGGTTTGAAAACTCATTACACAGTCCATATTTGTATATCTTTTTTCCTTGCCAGTGTCATTCTTGCAACATGAGGAGGCTCTACAGGACAGCAGACTGTGCCATTATTTCATTTAAAGAAGCAGAACTGTCTTGCATTCACTGTGAGCCATTTGCAATAAAAATAAAACCTAGCTATTTTTGCCAAATTACATTTCTAGACAAATTCACTAGAAGCAGCACATGAAAAACAGCTGCTGAGGGCAGTCCTTTGCACTCATCAGAAATTTTATCATTGACTACAGGGCCAACAGTATTTCACCTAAAAAAAAATAATAATAAATTCACAAGGTGAAATTCCTGTAGTTGCAGCAGTTACGTTCTGAGGTAACTTATCTATCAAAGTTCTTCTAATAGCTATGGGCACAAATGATTTAAGAGACAGCAGTTTGCATGCTTTCTTGCACTAAGCTCACAGCAGACTCAGACCTACCATTACATAGTTACAGCCACTTTTAGAAATGCCACAGACCCCTCTCTGGAAACGATGGGGTTGGATAGCAGGGTTGGTTCCCCTGCCAGGCTGATCTGATGCTGTTCTTTACAGATTCTTCCTATAGGAAGGCACCCCTCCTCTAAGACGCTCTCCTCTCCTACTGCAGCGCTGCATTCTTGAGCCGTTTGGGTGGAAGATGGTGTCAGCAGGCATTAGCAGAGAACACAGCTTGCCAATGCTTCACTTGGGTTTAGTTTGCAATGCAGAGACATTTTCTTTAACCCAATCTCATGTTTTCTGCTGCGAGTCCTTCCAAGAAATTTCCATTATTTCACGTGAATTGAAAATCCAGCTGTGAAAGCTCATGGTATTACGAAAACAAACAGGCAGGACAACATTGAAATCATTCTAAGAATCAAAGCGCATCTGTATCCAAAATTCAACAAGCATTTTGTGTTAAATACTGCTATTTTTAACAAACTATTGCACCAAGAGGAAGGATTCCTTCTTCAGAAACATCTCTCCATTTTAAATGTAAGTAGAAAGGTACAACTAAAATTTACTGCGAATATAGCATTAAAATGACATTTAAGAAACGCTGGGGGGAATTTCACTGGAACACCTTTGGTCTTGCTTCACAGTGACACGTGGCTCAACACTTAAACAGACCAAGCAGGAGCATTTGCTTTCCTGCCTTTTCCCACTAGAACCAGGCCTGTAATTTTACAGAGAGCTTCTCACGCACTGTTATTTCCAGACACTTCATTCTGCCTTATGGGATAACAAATCCACCGCAATTTAGGCAAAGCCTGCACTGATCTGGATTAAGACTGCAGAATTTTTGCCAGGATTGCAGCCTAATTCTTCTCTGTGCGACATCAACACAGCCTCCTGGCACAGGCTTCTGCTGAAGCAGGCCTGGAGCCCCGCTTTTATTATTATTATTATTGGGTTTGTCTGATTTTCCTGAAAGCAAAAATCTGGGGGAGGATTTTCAAAGCAGCACAGTAGATCCAAGCGCACTGCCGGCCCTCTTCTCCCTTTCTACAGGCTTTAGCCCACTGTGAGAAAAACTGTGGCTGAATTAAACCTCTTGACATTACTCCCCACATGTCAGAGTTTGTTGAGGTGCTTTGTGGGAAGATTCTGCAGGATACTGATATCTCTTCATGAAGCACTCAAAAATATTTCTATTGCAGTTTGCACGTTTGGCTCAATTGTGAGTTTTGTTTAGTTTTCTTTTTTTTTTTTTTTCTCTGCTCCACATTCATAGCCTTGGATGTTGGGTAGATCTCTGTATTTCCAGCAGCATAATATCATCAGAACCTCGCCTACAAAGAAAGAGCAATTTTGGGGGGGGTGGGGGGAAGAAGAATAGGCCAGGTGTTTGAAGAAAAGACAAAAGAAAGGCACAGTAGGGTGTTCTGACTCACAAATCTGTATTGAGAAAGAAGTATTCATGAAGAAAATTAATTTAAGAAGTATGTAGTTCGGGTTTTGAGCCCACAGTTCCTTTCAAAAACAGATTAGCGATTAAAAACTTTTTTAGTCTAGCAATCTCTTAAACAATTAGCACAGTAATTGGAAAGGGACTACAAATTCAAATCTAGATAGACATAAAAGAGTTTCCCCATAGAGCTTTGCCTTGGTTTTGTGGGCCACTGGCATGCACCTGCCTTTACCATCAGTAGGGCTGAAATACTGAAAAAGTACTTTGAATAGGGATAGAAATGCCCCAAACAGTAATACCATACAAATTACTTAATTCATGTAAAGTAGTGGTAATTGTATTGATTATGAATGTGTGAGTGATTCCTTTATTTCAAGTTATATGAGACAACATATAACAAATACCAGCAGCTTGTAATGGGGTCCTCACTGCAGATTTGCCAACCATAGGGGGTGCGATGTCACTTTCCTCCTTATTCTGAAGGATAAATCTGGATGTGCTGCCACTTGGAAAGAGAGAACTGCTAACTTTAAACAGGTAAATAAGAATTTCTCTACTTATAGGCTTTCCATCTATAAACTCTTCTCCGGTCTGGAAATAATCCTGCTCAACTTGTTTACCAAAAGTTGCCTGAAGTGAAAGGAAAAGGAAGGTAAGGGAACAAGACTCCAACCTTATGATGTTTTTTCCAAGTCTGAATTGGTTTTTTTAATTTTCCTACTATTGAGGATTTTAACAACTCATTTGTTTTCAACCCTTTATTTTATACGCCATGGATCACAACTAGTTGAAGCTGAGATTGCCAGAAGAATAAAAAAATTATATTAAAAAAGATTGCACCACATAATTATATTTACTTTCAACAACTTTCTGAGTTTTAACTTCCCATGAAGCTGCACGAACAAAATACATGTAAGAATAGGAAGTACAGGATGATATGCATGCCACTTGTACTTCACCTACGCAGTGGCCCAAACTACACAAAATGCTGGTAAGGACAGAGCATTTCTATCTATTCTATGTTCAAGCAGCTCTACACACACGTTACAAGGAAACCCAGCCAGCAGGTCGTGCTACAGCCCACCCACACCTGTGTGGAGCTGCCCACAAACACACAGCTGCATGAACGCACCCAGGACTTCAATTAAAGTCTCCACGCACACGTGCAAAGTATGAAAGTGAAATTACACCTGAGCCACTGTCAGCATGAAGAACAGATCTGAGCTTCTCACCTCACATCGCAAATGCCTCCCATGGCAGAGGATTGCAAGTGCCCAAGCCATTTCTACTGCAGGGAAATGGAAGCCATAGGCAGGGGTGGGCAGGAGGCCCAAGGGAACACAAGTTGCAGAGCTGCCACTGAAGGTCCAGTAAGGCTACTGCCCTCATTTTCTCTTTGCTATTTTTCAGAGTCAGATATCTCCGTTCAAGAAAAACAAAAAACAAAAAACAAACAAACAAAAAAAAAAACGAAAACACCTTTTTAAACATGGCATGAAGTTTTGTCATTTATTGGAACTTCAGGGTCCCTTCCAACCCAATTCTGTGGCTGCACTGAACCTCTCCTGGCCAGCTGCTGGGAAGCCATTGGCTGCTCACTCTCTCCCCTCATCCTCAAGGGAGCAAGGGGAGAAAAGCAGGGCATGAGGGCTGTGGGCAGCCCCAGGAGAGCACTTCTTGACTGCTCCTTCTTCCACAATGCTGCAACCAGGGCCTCCATGGGCCTCAGCCATCACAGAGCGCTCCAGCACTCCCCACAGCTGCATTCCTTTAAGGCACATCCATTACTGCACCTTGGGGTCTGTAGGGGCCAAGGGAGCTCCAGGCCTGGAGCATCTCCTCCCTGACCCCGCTGCTACATGGCTGTTCCTCACACTTTTTCCTTTCACCTCACTCACTGCAGAGCGAGTATTTTGCTTCATCTCATACTTGCCTTTGCTGAGGCACCCCCAGCATTTCTGCTGATCCCAGCCAAGCCCTGTGTCTGGGCCCTCTCCTTTCATCACATGGCCACGCTGCCCCCTCATGCATTTGTTTTATTAGCAAACACAGGGACAAACATCAGAGGACCAAAGACATTTAGTCAAGCAGTGTGCCAAGGCACAATTAAGGGGTGATACCCTGCATTATAACTTCATGTTAATTTAGTTTGTTGGCTGCAAGGCTTCTTACATCCCAGCTGGAGAGGAACTGCTTCACGAAGGCCGGTGGGAAGTCACTGAAAGATTGCAGTGAGCTGCAAAGTCACACTGATGGAGTAGAGAAACTTTGACATTAAAATATATATACACACTAGAATGGAAGGTTGTGGATTTTAT